GGTTTCTTTTTCATTTGTTTTTTGCTGTTTTTTTATGCTAGATTTGGCAACTGTGAAAACCACATCTGAACTGGAATAAAAAAGAGGGATATGTCTTTCTTGGTTTATCTTTTAAACTCAAAGTGTTCCAGGTGCATGTTCTTGGTTCTGGTGCTTAAGACTGGTAACCCTCTCAGCAGAACAAGACTTTTGTTTGTTCCAGACAAGGAGACAGACAAAAGATAATGGTAACAGATACAGTTTTGGAGTTCCTTGCGTTTACAGTTTTCTTTGCAAAATTAAGTCACACACTTCTGCAGGAAAGGAGCTGACATGCTGTAAAATTTCAGAATATATCACTTGCTTTTAGTCATTTCATTGCTTCTAGTATCTAATCTATCTTTCTTGTGTCTAAGCTGCTTCCTTTTTCTCACTGGCCAAAGGTTTTGACCAGGTTCCACTGATTAGCAGCACTGGAAAACCCAAATGGCAAAATTAGAGTGTTGTTACCTCAAAACTGGCTGTCTGCCATAGACAAACTCACTCCCAAACCTGGCTACTGCAATAGCAGAAGTAAAGATTGCTTTCTATTTCACTCCCAGCACAGCAAACAAATTTTGTCCTTCAGACATTGGAGCAAAAAATATGCTGTCCTCTTTTATGAGAAAGCTCCCTTCCTGCTTTTTTAAGGTCCCCTCCAACACAAGTTTTTCTATGATTTCTATGATAAACCCCCCAGAGAACTCATTGCCATGGTGGATAACTCAAGGTTTCAGCAACTGTTTTGACCACTGCATGCTACTGTTCTGTCTTGTGGAAGAGACAAGAAATAGTTTTAAAACTAATCCATACCTCCTGTGTCTAGTAAAGGTTAGCTAAAACTGTGCCCTATTCTAACAGCAATCAATAACAGTTTTTTCCTCTAAGAAGGCAATTCATTGGCTTTTCTGTGGAAGTTCAATAATCTTTTCAATGTTCAAATAATCTGCACACAATCCACTTAACTTTGATTCTGAGGGAGAAGCTTTGAAGAAAATAGTAAAAAGACAATGCAGACAAGCATAACTCTACTGAACATATCTGGTAAGGTCTATGAACAGGGAGAAAATTTGTACAAATTACTGAAGACACCTCTCTTGTAAATTGGGTTGACATCTTGATACTGCAACTCTTCAGTCTCCTTGCAGCCTTCTTCAATTTAGACTGTTCTGTGTTTCTCATTCACAAAATATCCCCGGATTGATAAAAGCCACAAAGGCCATGGCTGTTTCTGTCCTTTAAAGTCTTATTGACTCTCCTCCCTTCATTGCCCAAATAGATTCTCAGGTCTTCTGTTCTGCTCTCAGAAAACACCATGGATATATGTTTACAACTCCCATTTTCACCAGATGCAGGCATAGTCCTCACGGACAAGTGTTGCTGCACAGAGCAGGGAACAACACCTAGCTGAAGACTGATTGGCTCAAGCACTTTGGTGCTGCTCGTGCTTTCTTCTTTGCAGTGAGACAGACATTAATTACAGGAGACTGAAAGGAGTTTGCAGACTGTGGGATAGCACATCAAACAGATATTGGGTAGAACTTCTGGTCAGTTAATGAGCAGTTTCTGGGTGCTAGAGAAAAGCTATTATAACTCAATTGGCAAATTCCAAGCTCTGATGTTGTTCTGGTTATAAAAACTTTCTACAACCAACTAGGAGGTAGGAAAATTGCCTTATCACATTCATATGCTTTTAACCCTTCAAGGGTTGCTGCTGTTGAGCTGAAAAATAATCAGATGTTTCTCATCTAAAAATAAGTTTGGGAATGAACAAGAAAGAGAAGGAAAGACTGAGAGATCAGGAACTGCAGGTCTGTTCTTCTGGTGACAATTACTTTGTCTTCACACCTGAACTCCATACCCCTTTTCTATTCCATTTTGCTCCATTGCTATACTTTATCCTTAATCCTTACCCTGCTGTGTTATAAGACTATCTGAACACAAAATAAAAGAACTGAACACCAAATAGATATTTCAGAAAAGTTAAATATTATGTGGTTGCATATTTGCTCAGGTTTTTTTCTCTCTTCATGCACCTGTAGTTAGTGGGAAACTTTGTACAGTTCTGCTGCTTTTCTCTGGAAGTGACAGTATGAATCAGGCAGTTTTCCTTGTAAAGATTGAGAAGGCATTTGAAGGCTGATTTCTAGTGTGAGTTATTGGCAGGTTACTGTGGCATAATAAAAAATTACTCCCAAAATCACACAGATGAGCAACAGCTGGTGAATCTTTTACTGCCTACCTGAAGGAGGTTTTACTTTGGAGGAAGTATGGACATGTCTGTGCCTACAGGTATGTAGCCTTGGGAGATGTTGCAGCAGGGCTGCCAGCCTTTGTGATGGAAAGAGTGGACTTGGCAGTGAGGTTCCATGCCCAACAACAGCCTTCTCTACACACTCACCAGTGCCCATCTGGCAGCCAGAAATCATAGAACCATAGAATCACAGAATAATGATCATAGAATGGCCTGGATTGGAGACCAGCCTTAAGGATCATCTAGTTCCAATCCCCCTGCCATGGATAGGGATATGTTTCGCTAGACCAGTTTGCTCAGAGCTCCATCCAAAATGGCCTTAAACACTTCCAGGGATGGGACATTCATAACTTCCCTGGGAAATGTGTTCCAGTGCCTCATCACTCTCACAGTAAACACTTTCTTCCTAATATCTAACCTACACCTTCCCTCTTTCCATTAAAAGCCATTGACCCTTTCCCTCTCACTACTTGGTCTTGTTAAAGTCTCTCCTCATCTTTCTTGTAGGCTCCCTTCAGCTACTGAAAGTATAAATTAGGTCACTCTGAAGCCTTCTCTTTTCCAGGCTTAACACTTCCAATTCTCTCAGCTTTCCCCCATAGGAGAGGTGAAAATTGACATTATTTAAAAAAAAAAAAAAAGAAAGAAAAAAAAGAAGGTGGCCAACCACATCCTGGTCTGCAGTATGAAAAGCACAGGCAGATCTTATCTCTCTGCACGTACTTCATGAGAAGCAGCAGAAAAATAAGGATGTGTATGGTTCCCACAGGTGACTAGATGAGGGACAAGATGCAATGGATATAAGACACAGCATGGGAAATTCCAGCTGGATGCTAGGGAAAAAAATCTACTGTATGAGAACAGTCAGACTTTGGGACTAGAGCCTGCAGATGATGTGGCCTCCATTTTTTGAGCTATTCAAACACTGCTGGTCCAGGCACTGAGCAACCTGATATAAGCCAGCCCTGCTTTGACTGCCTGGTTACAACAGAGGACCTCCAGAAATCCATTACCTATATCCTAAGACTATGCAAATAGATCAGTCTTAGAAAAAAACAGCTAAAACTACATTCCCATTGAAAGTGTGAACTTTGCTTCTCAAAAAATCAAATTATCAGGAATATTTAATGCTCTATATAACTGCTGAGGATGAGCAGCTTCTTAAAAACCCACAGGTGCTTTTGCTTGAGACAAGAGTTACTGAGTTCCACAAGTCAATGTGAGATTTTTTTTTTTAAACCTTCCTGCCACTTATTGAAAAACAAAATACAACCTACAGATTAAAGCATGAGACACATTAGGTGAGAAGTAGTCTAATTCTGACTCAGTAGCAGACTTGTTAAGTAACTTTGAAGAAAATGTCTGAAGGCTTTCATGCCTTTCATAGCACGTAATATAGGACTATCAGCTATTACACAGAAGAGACAAATTCAACACTCTTTTTAATTTCTGCATTTGGTTGTCATGGAAAATATTGCTGTACATTTCATTTGAGAAAAACTATTACTATATATTTTTAACATTAAATTTGCCATAATTTTTAAATGGCAGATCACTAAAAATATTTCTAAGCTTAACTGGCTATTGGAAAAACCTTTTCTATATTAAACCTTGAAAAGAGCAGTTAGACAGTGTTAGAGAAAGTATTATATTTTCTACAACTATTGTTTTTTATCTTGTGGAATCTTAACAAGGGGATAGGACAAAACATTTAATGAGCTTTTGGATTTAAAATCCCCAAGCACATGCCCTTAATTTGGAAGAAAGAGAACATCCTTATTCTGAACACTTTTATTATTCATACTGAGCTCCTGGGAATGCAACATCAAGATTTTGAAATATGAGTTTGTTCTACCCTGCTACTTGTTGTATGGCCAGGTTTTGTAGCTATTCTGCTATATCACTGATAGAGAATGACTTTTTGAAATTAAATGGGGTCAAGGAATAATTGCAGCTTTGCGGATACCTGTGTTTCTCTGATAGATTTCTGGTAGCAGATGTATGAAATGGCTACAATTAAGAATAAAGCCAACAGTGTATTATAAAGATGATCATGATATCTCATAGCAAATTCACCCCACATCCTCCTTCTTTTCCCATGCTTCATTTTCTTTGTCTATAAAAAGTTTGAGTCAGTACTTTTCAATGATAAAACAACTGCAGTATACAAAAAGCATATGCAAAGTGGATGCTTACAACTCTCTGGAAGAATACTTTTTGATAAAGAAACAGAATCATTTCAGGAGTTCCAGAACATTTTCAGCTTTTCAGGATGCCCACTTTCAGGGTTGCTACAGATGATTTATCACTGTATCCTGAGGAAAGTTCCTCCAAGGGCTGTCAGATCTCATCTTAGATATTATCTGAGCAACTGAGAAAATCCTGTTGAGAGGCTGAGTGGCCTTCATACTACAGGAGAGAGATACTTATGCCTATATATATCCAGAAACACATACTCTCATGTGTTATCTTCACTTTCACTACAATTATTCCTCTTCCTTTCACCTATGGCCACTTACAGGAAAATGCATTTTGCAACAACTGAAAATATTTATCGTATATTGAGGAGAAGAAAACACATCTTCATCAATGAACTTGATGAGTGAGATGATAACAACTGGTACAATCCTGTCTGTCAGCTGTTTGTGGTTGACGAGCAACGGGTGGCACTTGAGGAAGCAGACAGAGCTGGGTTGCGGTAGCAGTTCCTCAGCAGCGCTTCTCTGCAAAGTCCAGGAGTCACACGCAGTGAGGAGAGTGTCCTGCTATGCTGCTGGAGAGTGGCTGGTGAGTGCTGCAAAAGTCCTCAGCAGAGGTACTGAGTTACTGGAGACAGACCAGGAGGAGGGAATTACCATTAAACTCAAATGGGAAGGCTGAAGGTCTGGATGAAGCTTAATGGTTCCTGGTGGGAGGTAAGATTACAGCAGAGCTGGGGGGAAACATGACAGGAGAGAAGTTAAAAGTACTTTGTGTTCTTCGTCCACTGCAGCAGTTGTGAATGTCATATTTTATTAAATCAGTGGAAGTAAAGTGGTAGTTAAAAGTGTATTTTGGGAATATTATTGCAGAAAGGGCTGCTGGTCTCCTTTTATAATAGCATCCACACTTTCATAATCCTTTCTGAAATTTATTAAAAGAAAAGAAGAATGTGTTATTGGTTTTGCCAATTAATCTTTGAACAAAAAGTAAGAAGGAAATTTTCATAATGATTACACTGGTTCCTCATTGGCTCCAGTACTTTTCATTATGAGTAAATTTTTCAGAATCAGTTCAGATGCTGGTCATCTCAAGTCACCCTCATAAAAGGTTGCCAGCTCTGCCTTCATTTTGGCACATTTAGACACCACCCCTGATGCTCTCAGGCACTCACACAGCTCAGCAATGAAATGAAACCTCATGATGGGCCACAGCAGCAAGAGCCCAGCCAGCTGGTCAAGGCTACAGCTGTCAAGTCAAGAATGTGATTATTCCACTTCATTTACTACCTGTTAGGCCACACCTGGGATGTGGTGTCCAGATTCTGTCTTCCTTGTCCAAGACAGACATTAAAAAATTCAGAGTAGCATAATTTCCCCTGCTGGAAATATTCAAAGCTCAGTTTGATGGGACCCTGGATTCCTCAGTCTATAGCCCTGCTTTCAACAGGAGGTTTGACAGTAAAATCTCTCGAGGTGCCTGCCAGCCTGGATCTTTTTAAGAGTCAACAGTCACAATCCACACAGACTGGAATATGCCTGTTACTTTCTGCAAAGTCATGCAGAGGTACCAAAACTGGCTCTGGAGGAGCTAATTGAAGTGCTGAAGCCTCTTAAGCCTGAAAAACAGGGATAAATTTGATGAGGGAGTGTCACTCCAACACACATTTATCACAAACTACCTATTTAAAGCTAGCCTAGATATTTTGACACAGCATTGTGTTCTGAATTGCACACATACCTCAGGCTCACATGGCAACCTGCATATCTTCTATATCCAATGCTGTACAAAAAGACTCCATGAATTCTACCATTTTACCCCTAAAAAGAACGTGTGCAGGCTTCTTCTGAATCTGAAACAAACAAAAAAAAAAAGTCCTGGGGAAAAATACTTCAGAAAAAGTATAATATAGTGCTAGAACCTCTCACCAATTTAATGAACTTCTTCCTAGCTTAGAATTGATCTCTGTTGCACAGCTGAAATTAAGTTCATGTGAGGATAATCTTAGGTGTGGGCATGGAATGAGGTCAGACACCCACTAACATGGATAGGGGAAAAAATCTGAAAGTTAAGTAGAGATAGTTTTTGATACAGAATTCATTATCTTATTGCAATCTCACTGAACAGACTGAAATCTTTCCTCTTCAGGTAAAATAAGGGGAAAAGAGTTTTAGCCAAAATAAGAGACATAAAGAAAATCTGGAGTGGATACAAAACAGGCATTGCTTTATCTGCACTAGAGGTACTTAGTAGTAAATGGTGAGCTCTCTCATCATGAGGGCTGTAGAAATCATCGAATCACTTTCATTGATGATGCTGATTTGATGGTGCAGAGAGAAAAAGGCAGCAATGGAAAATGCTACTCAGTGAGCTGATGCTTCTCATTTTCATCTCAGTTGCACAATTAAACACATTAACTGCCTGCTTTACTTTCTTAAACTCTCCAAATTCTTACCATTGCCAATACCAACATGAAGCTATTTTGGGGAAAGCTTTTCTGTGAAGATGAACTAGTGCTTAATGTGCTAACCTGAGAACCAGAAGCAATGGGGCTGAAGAAGCATGTTTCTGTGGCCAGTCTATCCTATCCTGTTGAGAAGATAAAGGTCAGATCACTGCCCACCTGTGGCTGTTTTGCTTTGGGATCAGAGCTCATATCTGCAGTTGCCCACCTTGCCAGGCACCCATCCAAGCCTCTATCACTCCTCTGTGCAACTGAACAAGGGAGAGAAAATATTAAAAAGGGTTCATGGATTGAGATACGGACCAGGAGAGATGTCTCACCAAATATAGTCATGAGCAGAACAGACTCAGCTTGGGGATATTAACAGAATTTATTACTAACAAAATCAGTAGGACAATGAGAAGTAAAAGCAGACCTGGAAAACACCCTCCTTCTCAGCTCTACTTCCTCCTCCAGTCCAGTGGCAGGGGGAGATGGGGCATAGTGGTGTGATCAGTTCAGCACACATTGTTTCTTTCCCTGCTCTGATGTGCAGTCTCTTCCCTGGGAGCTGGTACTCCATTAATTTCTCCAGTGTGAGTCCATCCCATAGGCAACAGTTCTTCAGAAATTAGTGCAACATGGGTCATTCTTCGCTGGGTGCAGTCCTTCATGGACACCCTGCTCCAGCTTTGTTCCCATGTAGTCACAAGTCCTAGCAGGAGACCTGCTCCGGTGTGGGCTCCTCTCTCCATGGGTCCGCTGGTCCCTGCCAGGAGCTTGTTCCAGCACAGACCTCCCTCGGGTTCACAGCCTCTTTTGGGCATTGAACTGCTCCAGCACGGGTCTTCTTCAAGGGCTACAGGTGGATCTCTGCATCCCTGTGATCCTCCATGGGCTGCAGGGGCACAGCTGCTTCACCATGGACTTCACCACGGGCTGCAGGGGGACCTCATCTCCAGTACCTGGAGCACCTCCTCCCCCTCCTTCTCCACTGACATTGGTATTTGCAGAGCTGCTCTTCTCACATGTTCCCACCCCACTCTTTTCTGGCTCTTTCTCCTTCTCCTTCTTCTTCATCTTCTTCATTTTCTTCACCTTTCTCTTCATGTTATCACAGAGGCATTATGCTCATTTCCAGCTGGCCCAGTCTTGGCCAGTGGCACATCCATCCTGGACCTGGCTGGCATTGTCTCTGGCAGACTTAGAGGACGCTTCTGGCACCTTCTCACAGAAGTCACCCCTGCAGTTATGAGGACCTGGCCATGCTACCCAATACATCAGGGTTTGTACATGTCCTACACAATTCATTTTGTACCAGCTTATGTTGGTGCTATTTGGGTCTTCTCTCCACCATGCTACACTGCTACATGTAGACTAGTTTTATTTTACCTTTTCATCTATCATGTAGGGCTCATAATATCATAAATATCCTGTCAGTCCATCTTCAACTTCTGCTTCATTACAGCTACAGTGAATAATGACGTAAAATATTGGGCTCTTATGCTTTCCAGTGATAAAGAAGACGTATATAGCCTGGATGAAATGAAAAGAAGGAAGACAGAAAGGGAAGCTGTTTCATAACTTATTGTTTTCAGATCTGTTTTTCTGCAGAGAGGTCTAAAGATCAGCCAAGTACAGGGGCCCAGTGCAACACCACAGCACAGGGTACTCCAAAACTTGAATAAAAATATTTGCACTGGCAAAATATCATTAAGACAACAGCATGGCCCAAGATTTTCTGCAGACTCCTGTGTCAATGAAACGGGGAGAAAATATATTAGGAGGACAATGAGACAAAGGGCAGGTGTGGGTATTCTTCCACAGCCCAGAATTGCAGCACTTATCATAAGTATTTCTACACCTGTGGCTGGGCTATGTAGCTGCTTTTTAAAATATTTCAGCTGAACTTCATTTAAAAATGCATCAGTAATGAGCTTATTGACAGCACAATTGGCTTCACACTTTGGCATGTGCACTGAAGATCTTACTTTAATGCAGTTAAAGTTGTCATTTATATCATAAAGTAATCATTGCTTATCATTCGCTCAGAATGGAAACTCCCAGATTTAACAGCAAAATGAATCATTTCAGCCCAAACAATTTTATGTAAGAGAGCACTTGCATGCACACAGCACCTCAGTCTAATAAGCAGAGTGTAGCTGTGCTGATCAAGGAAAGGCTCTTGCAAAACCTCTGTACTTTGAGAATGCAGCATGGAAAAATTCCCTTGAAGTAAATTCCTTCTTTCTGTAATGACAGGAAGAACCTGAATTCCTCTCTAACCCAACTGTAACAGAAACATCATGTATTTAATTGTGGTTATGCTGAGGTAGAAAATCATTATCAATCAGTGTGGACAGCAAGCTTTGCTTTCTGTACTTCTCCTAGGCAGTGGGAGCTTAGACTAATGCAGGGAAGTTTGTTCTTCAGACAACACACTCTAGCATATTAAATTTCACAAATATCTGTATGTGTACATTCAACATGAAAGTGATCTTTGGTAAAATTATTTTTCCTTGCTCCTGATGATAGAGTTTGCATTACCTCTGCAGTCAGAAATCAGATGAAATAAGAAATCTGGGAATAAAACAGTATTAGTAGTTGCAGTACACATTTTGAGGGTGAGTAGCAATAGACTTGCGTTGAAATCCTGTAAAAAAAAAAAGTATTCTTCCTTACAGCATGCTGCCTAACCTAGCAGGCAATTAGTGAGATTTAGCACTAAGTTCTAAAATATTTTAGGATGAGCACTGTCTTTTCAAGATGAAGGGAAAGATGTTTTTTCTTCTCAGAGAGGCATATATGCTTATAGAATTGGCATGGTGCTGCATATTTATTTCTTTCTCTGCAGTCTAATGTCATCTTCATGGTAGGAGTAATACATCTCCTTGTCAATCAGCTCCTCCTTCCATTTTTTTTCACCCTGGTGAGAACAAGCTCCCATAATGAGTGAATTGTTGTGCTGGATTCCTGATAAAAGGCACACCCCCTGAAAAACTTACTGGCTTGCAACAGATACGAACTAGTAAAATCCTTTAAAAAACCCCCAGTAATATTAAAGTTGGTGACAGACTGTTAGTAGTGCGCTGTTGTTAAATATAGGACACCTTCTCAAACTGTCCATTTAGACTGGATACTGAACAGATACCTTTTGTATGCAGTTCTGATTCCTCCTGCTGCCCTTGGTGACAAACACTGATGCTGAAGAAGAGCCCAATAGAAAAGAGAAGGTATGGCAAAAGTTGGGCAAATTGCTAGTGTTATTAATATTAGAATAGTTGGTTTCTAGATCTGGGATCCCTCCCATACAATCAAAGAAGAATGTGATGTGAACTTAAGTCTTGGTTTGTTTTCAGTACTTTTCTGAAAGATCTGGATTCTAGTAAGACCTAAACAGAAATTTGAGGAGGTTTTATTAATATGCTGTACTTCAACATGGTGCAATTTTGGCATTTCTGTAGGAGGAAAAGGTAGTGAGATAGGCTGAAGGGAAAACAGATTTTCTCCATGACACTTTTCCTTAGGTACATTTAAGCAAATTTGAGTAATAATGCCCAGGTATAATAACTTGCAAAGTGGGTATTTTTTCCCTAAATCAGTTAAAAACCTAGGAGGAGGCCACCAGATGCATTTCCACTTTTCAGAGGAGCTTAAATTTATGGCTCTGCTATGCAAAGGTGTGTGGAACAAGGAATTTCAAATCACATTTACTCCCTGTACTTTTCCAAAATGTTCTTTCAGATGTGTCACAGGCAGTATTTCTCACTCACAGGACACCTTGCACTGCCTGGGTGACAGCCACAAATCACAACTGATCCAAAACCCAGAGAGAGACATTTTGAGAAACCTATTATCTATAAAATGTTTTTGGCTGATACTGATACTGAATGTTTTTGCCTTTGTAGGTAATTAATATCTTTCTATTCAGGTGATTGGAATATTAAAGCACAGCAGAAATAGGATTTTGTTGGTAACAGGTATAAGTTACTCTAATTACATACTGCCTTTATGTTCTTCATATTAGCAGCTGATCTTTTACTTAATAATGGACTTCAAAAAATCTATCACAATTGCAACTTAATAACTGATCAGCCAGTGTTACCTACCAGCCCCAGGCCCACAGCTGGCACTAGAAGGGACTCTGAGCAGATCAAAAAGCAGGCTTTTTGTAAGCAGTACAAATCAGTATGAATTATGTCCTCCCTGATTCTGTGTAGTTCACATCAGTTCAGTGTTGTCAGGACCACCACTCAGGCTCTACCCACAACTAAGAGCCAGCTTACCCACAGTCAATTCAAAGTGTACAGGTGGATCTTATTTTTGCTTTCTGACACTTAAATAAGTGAAGGAGAAGAATATTTTTGTAGAAGACCCAACCATCATGCTTGAATAGCTCCTGCTACCTTGTGTAGTCCTCTTCTGAATTAATATTCCAAGTTGTTGAGTCCTGGCAAAATAAATGCAGACAAACAAAATACCTGTGTTGCCATGGTTATTCTATGTACAACTTTTAGTTTGGAACAGCTGAAAAGTCACTAACAGCATCTATTCTGCCTGAGCATAAAGGGAAAGGTTCTGTTTCCTCAAGGACCTCTTGAAATCCAGAGTAGAGGTACCTTGATGCTAATCAGCCTCAGGACAAGCAGTCCTTGAAATCTGGCCCAGCCTCTCATCTGTTATTAAACGACTTTGGCTCTTGAAACTGTTGCTTTAATGCAAACTCAAACTAGGTGATGGTTGAATCCACATGATACAACAGTACTATGAAAACACACTATCACACTTCCAGATTTTTATGGTATTGCTAAAACTACCAGCAATTACTCAAAACTTGTAAAATACATGCATGTCTAGTATCAGTGTTTAAAACCAGTGATGCTCTAAAATAATCACATTCTGCCACCAACTCAGTGCATTAGAGCTGAAAATCTGAACATACCAGTCTGGAAGCCATTAGACATGCTGTTGGTAAACGCTGGGGGAAAATTGCATCAATTTAGCAGGGAGAATTAATTGCAATTATGTCTATTAAGCATTCTATACCTATCTAGATCTTGATGCAAACTACAAATTAGAGACCGACAAAGACAATGAGGGTGTCTGTCCCTGATCATACTCTAGTATTTCACTATTTGGTTTAATCCTGTATTAAAGGATTTGCCAACTACAAACATGTGGAAAGAATTCAACCTGAAAAACTCTTTTTTTGTTTTGACTGCTTGAGGAAACAACATTGTTACTTATCAACAAAATTATATAACTTGTATCTTACGTAATTATTATATTGCATCAAAAATATATGTCAATATACAACATTAAAAGATTACTTATGTTTTAACTTATACTTAAGCATGTGTAACTTATTTTATGTATCAAAATATTGTATAATTTAAAAACCAACATACAGAAGCTACCCGAAGGTTTTAAAGATACCTTAGTTTTCTTTCCACTGGCATGTATTCACTCTAAAAAAGACCTAGAAGGAGCCAAGACAAAATTACTAATTTGAGAAGGCACAAGTCTTGATTCAAGGTCTTTAGGTCTGGCTTTGCCATGGAGTTTTTAGCTTTTTATCTGTATGCCTTTCAACAGATCTTTGAGACCAGCTTCTTTTAATATCATCTAAGCAGTTCTTTAGCTGTCGGGCACTGTTAAAATTGCAAAATGCAAAAAGACAATTTCCATCACATAGCAGTTTGTTGTGAAGCAGCACAGAGCAGGACTTCCCTTGTGATTTTTTTAACCAAATGTGAAGCAACAGGATGCAGTCAGTTAAAACATTCTCCTGTGAGGTTGCATTTCAAGTTGTATGTCTATGCTGTTGCTTTCAAAACTAGCACACTCAAATAGAACCGTGTGTTCTGACAGAAATGTGTTAAGTCTGCAGGAGGGCAAAACTGACCTTGCACAGACTCCTTACAGAGACTCAGTCCTGCAGTGAGACGTCTTTTACCACACATACACCTCACACAACCACCATTGCTCGATGAGCCTTTGACACTGGTATGGCTAATCACTTTTTAAATTAAATCTCCTCGTTTCCCTCTGCTGGCACTGTGCAGGTGGAGTGATGGCGCCATATCCTGAGATTCAGACACCGAGCTAAAATCTTGGCAGAAAGCAGAGATGAGAAATGGTGCTGGGCTGTAGAGTGAGCTTTGTTTCATCCCTCACACTTAGGTGTCTCTGACCACAACCACACCCACACTTAGTCAGTTACAATCTAGATAATATTTTGCTCTTGTCCTGCCCTGTTTTCTCAAACCACACCTTCAAATCACCCCTCCACTCTGGGAACAACCCATCCAAACATATGTCTTCCTGAACTGTGAGGTTCACTTCTGTGTGTATAATTTATCATTTTAGGTAGTAGTATAAAGCCCTGTGCAGCAATGGGAGGCTTTGAAGACCTCTAATGGCTAAGAAGTAGCTGCAAGGTAAGGGATGATGTGATGCAACTAAAAATCTTCCCAAGGTTGTGTGCCATGGGCAGCTCCATCCTCACAGAGCACAGCTTCAAGGTTATTGTTTTGTCATAAGCTCAAAGAAAGAAGCAAGGCAATGACTCTTTAAAGCATCAAGTCTTTTGCTTTTTGTTCTTAGAGCTTACATAGAATGAAGATCCAAGTAAACAACACTTGAAGAGTGGAGAGAAACTCTAACCTGTAAGTACACACAGAATGAAAAAAAAGCCTCGGTTTGCAAAGTAAATGAATGCTTGCAAGTTTAGGAGGGGGGAGAAGCATTCAGTGGTCTATTTTTTTATTTTCAACCTACTTTCTGTACAAATATTTTCTCATTGTGTTTGGTAGTTTCCTAGTAAGGGACAGAATTGCTTCATTCTTTCCCATATTACCACCCTGTAGCTTTACACTGCCTCCTAAAACTGGGAGGCAGTGCATTTTGTTTTCATCCATCCTTTGTATGTGTGTTTGATATCACCCAGTCTCTGCAAGGACAAGAAGGGTTTGTTTTCTCTGTTAAGATACAGCTAAGGAGGCAAATAATCCTTTTTAGGAACACTTCATTGTTTCCATTTTTTTTTTTGTGTAAAAAATAGTGACAATCTCAAACGAAAGAGGACTAACTTAACATGCTTTTCCATCCCATTTGTTCTTCAATGGACTGAATTGAAACCACAAAATATCAGTATAATGTTGACACAGCCTGCAAGACATGAATTGTTGAGCTACCAAATGAGTTAGGGGAATCATGAAAAGTTGTTTGAAAAAAGTCGATGCCTAAATGTAAAAATGTGCTTGATATTTAATATTACTTATTGTTAGTGTTTTCTATTTAGCAGGTTTTTATACTTCAAACTTTAGGTGTGTGTGGTTATTTTGAAATTAAAGGAATTCTGCAATTATTCCAGTAGCACAGCCTACGTTACCATAACACAGCATGGAATTAGAACAAATTGAAATGCAATTACAATGCCCTCAACAGAAAATATTTTTGAAACTAAATGAGGATTCTGTGAAACAGATGCAGATTTTAAACAGACTTTTGTTAAAAATTATTTGTATTTTTCACTTCCAACATAGTCTAGTTCAGTGTAGGAATGTCAGTTCTGACAAACACTCATTTTTCAATGTATTAAAGCTGTCAAAAATAGAAATCTTTCATATGAGTTGAAATTTTTTTCTCCTCCAAATTCAAATGAAACTTCTCAGTTGGGTGCATGCAGACAGCAAATGCTTCTCCTGCAGAACCCAACTGTCAGAACACATGAAAATCTGTGTGAAGCCTGCCAGTCTCTCAGCAGACGTGTATGGGGGGATAAATTTTGCAAACACTTGTTATACAGAGTAGAGCTCACTGTTTGACAGAGATTGTAAAAGTGTCATCATTTCTGACAAATGAGTGGTTTTTTTAAATAAGTTGATATAATGTTGATGTAACATAATGGTGACTCATGGACTTGGTTGGGAAAATAGCATGGAATGAAGGGAACAAGCCAGTGACAGGCTGATCTGGATTGCTAAATCAGGCACAAACTAGAATAAGCATTTTACCCCTGCCAAATGTGAAGTTCTTCGTCTAAGAACCAAGTACAAGTGTAAAGACAGTTCACTGAGGAGCCACAGGTATGTCTGGGATCAAGGGAGAATAAGACTCTTCTGTCTCATATAAGGTACCTACAGGGGAAGGCAAAATTTGACCAAAAATTTTTAAATCTGAATGCAGAGGCAGAAGCACAGCTAATACCTGGAAGCTGAGGTTCTACAAATTCTGTCCAGAAGTATGGTTCATCTTTTTTTTTTCCTTTTTTTTTTTTTTTTTTTTTTTTTTTTTTTTTGTTTTGTTTTGTTTTTAAATAGTAAGATAGATAACAGTAAGTAAAAAGAGAAACAAGTTCCTGAAGTTTGGAATGAATATTTCTTACCTGGAAAATTTTTGACTGAGATCAAATTGTTTTCAGAAATCATAAAATCACACAACGGTTTGGGAGGAAAGAGGCCTTCAAGATCATCTAATTCCAACAGACCTGCTATGGGAAGAGGCATATTCCACTAGACCAGGTTGCTCAAATCCCCATCCAACCTGGCCTTGAATACAGACAGGAACTGAGCACTCTGGGTTTTTCTGTCCTGAAGAGAGCAGTCCAGGGAAATCTCATAGACTGTCCTTCACAGACAGTCACATGAAATGAGTGTGATGGCATTATCCACACTGACAACTGACAAATCTTGAATGCACAAGAATCTTTTTGCTGATCACATTTCTGAAAGAAACTAGCCTCTGGCCCGTTGGCAACCTACCTCCTTTGTCAGACTAAACCATCTATTTTTGCAGTTGTCCCCCAGCCCTTGGCACCAGCAGCTGCTGTGGCATCCAAATGAAGTGGTGCCCACTATTGCCTTGTGGCTGCTCAAGGCTCATGTCCAGCAGAAGTTCAGCTCAGTCATGAGAGGCTTAACCCAGAGGAAGACCAATCCTGGCTCCAAAACTTGAGCAATATCACTGAACTGGCAGTTGCTAGAGGGTGTGGGAAGGCACAGAAACAAGAAGAGCTGTGTTGTGTGAGGTCCACATTAATTCTTTTTTCATGTGCCTCCTGCTGAATTCTGGCAAAGGGACTTGTAAGCCGCATTTCAGGTCAGTAGGTTATAGCTCTGTGAATGTCAGTATAATAGGAAACCTCACTTTGCCAGAAAGCAGCATTTCCTCTGTGAAACATGCCCTGTGTTATGTTACACTCAGTATTCATCACGCAATGATATTTCAGTGGGGTGCCTGGGCTACTGAGGGAGCTGATAATCTCCTATCACAGCTGCTAGTAGCTTTTTTTTTTAAGATAAATGAAAATTACATCTCCTGCAGATTCTTACTATGCAGAGATTTAACAACGACTGCAGAATTCTGTAGAAACCTGCATTTCAGTGAATGTGCACTGGAATGTCTGAGTAAAACATCAGTTATCTTAGTTCTGCCTATCTGTTCTTACTGCCTTCAAGTTTCACTGCTGGCCTCTGAAGGGTGACAAAAAGAGGTTCTTCCTCTCCAAGTGCAACCTTGCTGCTGGGTCTGCTCATACCAAGCCACATTTCCAGCATATTGCCTTTCCCTCTGTGACACTTTTAAAAGTTTAAAACTTGAAATATGCATTTTAAATCAAAACAGTGTGATAATGCCTCTTTTTAGAAACATATTTTCAAACTGAAGTTTAACAGCTTGGAGAAACCGATGAAGAGTTCTTGCATGGTTGTGAGGATGAAGTGACTCAGAAACAAGAACAGAACTGGAAGGAACTTGCACCATTTCTGATGCAAGAGCTGCAGTGTGCCAATCTGCAGTGACTTTGATAAAAATCTCCTTCACAACAACCCATTGTAATTCTCTTAATGTACTGGAATTAGTTGTCCACATAACTCTGAAATGCAAGATCAAACACAAAAGGTCAGTAATGCCAGCAATCAACGCATCAGTCTGAGATACGGCACTTATACTGATTATAATAAGATATCTGGAGTCTTAGATGCATTGGGATAGCTGGAGAATAACTTTTCAATGTATGAAGAGACCTTGATTACTGTAAGTGCCTAGAAATATTGCTAAGAAACAACACAAAACACCTGAGGTGCACAACAGATATTCATTGCCCACTATGAACAAAAACAGTTTATAAAACTGTTACAGGCAAAACTCTTTTCCGTAAAATGAGTGGACTGCTAAAAAATTTTTCCCCTCCTAACTTTTGGCAGTTTGTGCTACCTAAAAAAATGAAAATAAAGCTGAAAAATCGCCCATACAAAGAGATTAAGGAACTACTTTCTGAAGTGTAAAGCATTTGAGTATTAAATGAAAAATCACAAAAACTCGGGAGAGAACTCCTTCTTGTGCTGTGGGATTCATTGGTAAAATGGATGACTTACAAGAGTCAGTTTTACATCACAGTTCAGGCAGCAGTAGCAGTACAATTGTGATAGTATGGAGACCAACACTGTTCAGTTTTCCCTGCTTCTTTTCTGTAACTGTAATGAGAAGATCCCCTGGACATTTTTACAGATGCAGGTATGCTTCAGGATAACACCCTACCTGAGCTCTTCCCCTCCTATATGATCTTGTAGTACTTAAAATCCTAGCAGGAGCTGCATTTAGATTTATAATAATTATTTCTAATCTATTTTTAAGAGAGTAATATATTAAAAATGTATAGCACACTTTTTAAGCTTGCTATTAACTTGCATCTAGCTTCTGCTTTGGTCAGACAGGATGATTTACACTCACCCAGGATGTCCTTTCCTAATGTTTTTTAGCAGCCCATTTTGTAACACCCAGTTACTACATGTAAGGTTTGAAATGGCCCTGAGAATCAGGACAGTACTGCCCATATTTCTTGGCCTGGCAGGATCTAAGCAGGATTTCCACGGAGTCTGGGTATCCATGGTGTTTAATCCCTTGCTCAGAGAAACTGTACATGGAGAAGAAGTTGACTGTAATGTTTTCAAAACTCAGCTTTCAGTGACAAACAGAATTTGTATCTTAGATAGAACAACATATGGCTGTTATCTGGCCCTGGGAAGGACAGATTTGTGTTGCAAGTAAACAAATTGATGAATGAGAGCAGAATTAAAACAATATTTCTGACCTTTACTGTAAAAGCATGCAGATGCTCAGAAGAGAGGAGAAAAAATAACACAGCATAAAACCAACATAATGATGGCTCTCTAAAGATCTTTAAGGATCATTTCTCCTCATATATTATTGATTCATGCTTGTTTTTTTGAGAATGGCTGGAAATATCTTCAGGACTAGAGCAGTTCTCTGCCCAATGTTCTCATCCATTTTTCCTTAGGCTGGAGGACGTTTGAAAAAGTTATAGCTACTGACGCCACCTGTTAGACCTCAGGATTATTCCTTAAGCAAGAAAAAGGTGGGAAGTCCTTCTGGCTTTTTAGGCAGGTCATCTCATTCCTACCTTATCTTAGTCTTTCTGTATTCTTCCGTTTCCAGAATATGTTCCAGGAAGATTTCAGGAACATGACTGAAGGGACCAGGAACAGCAGTGACTCCTCTTCTGCCTTCGTTCACACCAGCACCGTGAGTGCCATACTGGTCACTGTCTACTCGGTTGCCTTGGCTGGAGGTGGAATTGGGTCCATCACAATGTCCTTTGTGCTGCTCAAGATGAACACTCTGTCTGTGACCACGACTGCCATCATTAACCTGGTTGTTGTGCACAGCCTCCTCCTCTTCACGGTGCCCTTCCGCCTCCACTATTATGTCAAAAAGAAGTGGGTATTTGATATGCCATTTTGCAAAATGGTGAGTGCCATGGTGCACATCCACATGTACCTGACCTTCATATTTTATGTGATCACCCTGGTGATCCGGTGGCTCGTCTTCTTTCAGTGGAAGGACAAGGTGGAGTTTTACAGGAAGCTGCACGCCATTGGGGCGAGCGCTGCCGTGTGGCTCTTCGTCATGGTCTTTGGGGTGCCGCTCTTCTACTTCGAGTATGGACGCTCAGGCTTATACAATAATACAACATGCTTCAAGTTCCATAAAGAACTACAGCACGAGAGTGTGAAAGCCCTGAACTACACTGTAATTGTAGCTGTTGCCCTCATTTCTTGCGTCCTCTTGAGCTTGCAGATTTTTATCCTGGTAAAAGTGGCGAGAAAATTTTCCACCTCCCTCTGTTCACACCAAGAATTCTGGGCCCAGGTGAAAAACTTGATTTTCATCTGGATCATCATAATTTGGTTCCTTCCCTATCACCTGTTTAGAGCCTACTACATACAGCATGTGAGTGATTTTGACCAGTTAGAAAGTTACAATGAGGTTTTTTTGAGCCTGACTGCCCTGAGCTGCCTGGACCTGCTGTCATTCGTGCTGAGTGGAAGTCGCTTCTTCAAGCAAAATGTGGGGATGCTCCACAGGAGGTTGCTTTGCTGCTAGCATCAGCATCCTGCAGCGTGTGCAGGACCTGGGACAGAACAGTGATGGATAGACACAGCAAATGCACTCCTCAGCAAGTGAGGGCGTGCTCTGGAAATGGTGCAACACACTTGCACAGGGCTTTGCATATCAGCTTCCTGAAGTAATGGAACAAACTGCCTCCCGAGTCCCAGTTAGTAAACAGGAAGGTGACCTCAGCAATTTCCTCATGGTGCTACCCAGTGAGTTGTGGATGGACCTGGAGAAGAGGGAAGAAAGGTCATGGGTTCTTCTCTCTTACTGTTTTTACATCAAGATTTGTGAAGTTAAAGGCACTAGGAGGAGACCTGAGAATTACAGTGTAGAAACACAAATAAGAAAGCTGGTTTATATGGACTAAGGTACAGATTTATGAAACTTAAAGATCTATGCAATTTTCCCATACATTTCATATTTATTTCCCACAAGCTCTTATAAAATATTAGGGAAGATATTGTTGTTCTTGAGTAGGTCTGTTTCTTCATTGTTATGCATAACTTTCTAAGTGAATTGAACTATTAAACCAGCTATTTAAAACTAATTCAATGATAGATAGTTATTTCTTAAAATATTTTCTCAAAAATCACTTTTTGAGATGATACCACTGCAGCAGAAAACAATATTATCTTTCTCATATTATGAAAATATGTCTAAAAAAATTGTACACGCTTACTGAAATGGATATTGCAAGTTCAAACAAAAACCTGTATTATTATTCACAAAATTTTTCAATTAAAAGTAATATTTTACAGTCAGGACAAGTTTTTTTAGGTAATTCAGACAGAATTTGTCTTCTCTTCAAAAGACAAATATCTTAGGTATCCAAGGTAGCAATGTTTCTTTGTAAATCTTATGTTGATTTTGTGCATTTATGAAGTTTATGAGTAGTCACTCAGAGTGTTTTTAACTTGAAAGCAATTCTATAATTTTGTATCCTGCACTGATGGAAGGAATGAAAATGTTGCTGCTTAGATTGGAGGGATGGAAAAAGCTAATAGACCTAGTGTAGCTAAAAAGCATATTCTATCTCAGTGAGGCATTGCCAGTTGCTGTCTTTGAAGACAGAAATAAATTCCACTAAAAAAGATGAAAAATTTGGTAAAATATTTCTATGAGAGACACCGAAGCTTTCATAGCTCAGCCGATTTATACATATCCCTAAAAAAGAATATAAATCTTGACTCCTCTAATGCAAGACATCAATGGCTAATCTTTATTTTTCTTGCCATATGCATAAGGTCACATTTTTTTCATCCAGAGTTAGTGGGATAATAATTTAATCATTTAACTAATTAGAGGTTATTAGCTGATCAATTTTCATGAGAGTCTTTACTCATGATGCTGTTGAAATCCACCTTTTCACCCCTGTGAATCTTTCCATTCCTTTCTGCTTCACCTTCAACATCTCTTGCACATCAGACAGCAATAAAATAACAATTGGTTGATCTTGTTGCACCTGTGCAATCTCATTGCTGTGCTCATTGCTTTTGGTCCCTCCAAGATGGTTATTTTATGAGATCCCATCTCTTCTGTGGTCTTTCTACCTTGTCTTCCTTCCTTCTTGCTTCAAGGTCCTTTATATCTATCAGGATCTTTGATCATAAAAAGGTATTTTCAGGTCAGAGTATGAGTGATGCTGTACAACACCAAAAGGTGGAAATCACTGAAATTCACAATACAAGTGAGGTGTTGGGCAGCTCTCATAGTTCACCCTTGGCAAATAGCCTGGACCACATCTGTTAAGAAAGAAATGTGAGAGCTTGCAGTGTGTGTGTACCTGAGAAAAATCTGTCCAAGAAGGCATTTGTTCCCAAAAGACCACAGTAAAAAGGATGACAACTACCAACCAGATTCAACAGTAGCTGAGGAACTACTTTCAAAACATGAAGGGAATCAACTTGGATGTGCAGCTCACTACTAGTTAACTGTGTGTCATTTAGAAAGCAATAAACTGCTATTATCCAGATTTGTTTTAAAGCTACACAAACAAATCATATTCTCCTTGTGGCGGGAGAGGATGAAAATTGGCATAACATTTTTGTTTCCTCCCGTAGCAACGTGGTTGGTTAAAGAAAATGCCTTGCATGCATTCTGTAGGCACTGCATAGCTTTGTAACATTATATAATAACCCTTCTACTATAATAAAGTTATTAACAAACAAAATGACTATGTGCTGAAAAAGTAAAGTCCCTCCTAGAAAAATGCACATAAATTAGAAGTATTTTATCTGCATTTGGAATGAAAGATAAAATATTATTTTAAAACCAGTACCTCCCAAATATACAGACCAACAAATCTTGTTCATCTGTGTTAAAATCAGAAGTAATTTAATTCCTGTAAAAATGCAAACTTTCACAGTAGCCTGCACTATAGCATCACAAAAAATACTAATGACTTTTTTTCCCCTAATAAAATTTGTTGCTAATGATGTTAATACTAACTCAGCATGATAACAAGCTAATTAGGAGGTCCAATAATCACATGATTTAAGATGGTGATGTTATCCAGCACCACATCATGCCTTTTATGGGTTTGTCTATGCAGACTTTATGTCTACCACTTGTCTTGCTTTGTGAGAGCCAGTGTGTGGCAGAGCAAGCCTTCCCCAGCCCTGAGAGAATGATCTCCCTTAACTGTGCCAGGAGTTGACCGCTATAGAAGAAGGGGAATTTCCAGTTACCTTCATCTGCTTGGTCAGAGGCACCACAATCATGAAGGTGACCCTTTTTTATTGCTGTACTAGATGACAGAGGACAGTACCAGGATAGGAAACAATCATGAACACAAACACACTATTAAAGAAGGACATAGAGGGAATAGAATCTGAAGAATAGGACTGGGAACATAGGACTGGGAATGAGGAGAAGAGAGCAGAATATCAGTACACTTCTGCCACACAGCAACAAGGTAAGGTGACGGTGTGTCTGGCCTCCATCTCAGGTTATTTATTTAATCCTTAAAGTTGCTAAAAAGTGACACTCACTGACGGGAGCAAGCTTGCCCTCAGCCACTCCTTGTTCCCACTCCTGCATTGCTCTTTCCATATGGCTGGAATTTGCCTCCTGAATGTCATTCAGCTGCATCAGTTCCCTCTCTAGCTCACCAGGGAATCATGGAAATCAAAAAATCAAGTCAAGGCAAGGACAAGTTCAGCTGCATCAGTTCCCTCTCTAGCTCACCAGGGAATCATGGAAAATCAAGTCAAGGCAAGGACAAATACAGCAAAGACTGCATTTTGCAACAATCCTGCCTTGAGGGTTTTATCAGACTGTAATCCTGCTTTGTCTAATTCCACTTAGCTTACAGATCTTTTCTTCCCAGGCAGTTTTCCACAGTCTGTGGAAATGTCACCTGACATTTCCATTTCCATGTATTGCCAATAACCAGGGTGCCTTGATTGAGGAAGAAGGTACCTCCGTAGCTGCAGGCCAAGAAAGGGGGTTTGGGGGCTTCAGGCACTTTATGCTTTCTCCAGGGATAGAAAGAGATGGGCATGAAAAACCCTGAAGGCAGCAGAGGCAGCAGTTTCTGAACAAAAGCCTCAACAGAATTGCAGAATTGGACATTTCTGACCCATAAAGTCACTCATTTCTGCTGTTTTCAGAGAAATAGGACTTGGCATGCATTTTCCCTGTAAGTAAACCCTATGGCTAGGACTTGACTGGAAACAAGGGCCAGTTTCAAAAGTCAAGGGGTCATTAATAAAACAGCTTGACTTCCCAGACAAAAATTTCAGAAAATCTAACTAAACTTCCTGAGACTCAGTGAAGTAATTTTCCTCACTTGCTAACAGCTGCTTAATAAATCAAAATTTTTGCTGAATAGAGAAATACCTATAAAGATAATATACACCGTCACCTTACCTAGAGGTAACTATAAGTAATATATAATCCTCTTTTCTCTGGTGAGGCAGCAGACATGCAGCTGGCTGCTTTCACCCTCAACCAGTAACTTCCCTCTTTCCTAGCAATGCTTCCAGTTTGGGGAGTGCCAGGATTCTTTTGCTCATCAGCTCTTCCAGTTGTGCCCTCAAGGAATTGTGCATCACTCACCTGCGGCTGGGGCTTAGAATCACAAAATCAAAGACTGGGTAAGGTAGGAAAGGCCCACAGTGGGTCACCTGATTCATCCTCCCTGCTCAAGCAGAGTCATCCTAGAGGACATAACACAGGATTGCATCCAGATCGTTCTGGATATCTCCAGTAATACACACTCCACAACCTCTCTGGGTAATCTGTTCCAGTACATGGTCACAGCAAGTGAAGAAGTTCCTCTTCATATTCAGGTGGAATTTCCTGTGCATTTATTTCTGCCCATTGCCTCGTGTCCTAGTTCATGGCACCACTGAGAAGAGCCTGGCTCCATCCTGTTGGCACCTTCCCTTCAGATAAGAAACTGATGAGGGTTCCTTTCAGACATCGCTTCTCAGGCTGAACAAGCCCACCTCTCTCAGCCTGGCCTCACAAGGGAGAGACTCCAGCAGAACTGCAGAGGTGCTCATCTTCGTAGCCCTTCACCCAACCTGCTCCAGAACTCCTTGTCGCCCTTGTACCAAAGAACCCAGAACTGGACATGGCACTCCAGGTGTGGCCTAAGCAGGACTGAGTAGAGGGGCAGGATCACCTCCCCACTGACCTGCTGGCAAAGCTCTTCCTAATGCCAGGATACCACTGTCTATCTGTCTTGGCCACAAGGGCACTGCAGCCTCATGGACACCCAGGTCCTCCAGGACCTTTTCTGCAGAGCTGCTTTCCATCAGGTTGACTCCCAGCCTGTGCTGGTGCAGGAGGTTATTTCCCCCCAGGTGCAGGACCCTGCATTTTCCTTGGCTGAACTTCAGACCAGTAGGCTCACATGACTAAGGTCTTTCTAATGGAAATGGTGCCAGTGCCACAGCTGGGAAGGGTAATGCACAGCCAGCTGGGGGCTCAGTTACCTCAGTTACCAATTCCAGAGGAAACTCCAGCCATAGCAGGGTCATAGTCAGGAAGGGACATATGTCCAATACCAACAATAGAGGCAAGAAAGACTTTGGCAGAGAAATTTGATAGCACCCTCAAATGCTTCATCTGAACCTGTAGGAAGACCCTGATTTGTGCTCAACAGGAAACACACACTAAAGGAAGGACTCATGGAAAAGAGCTCATAGGCCCTGCTCTGCTTTAGAGTTCTGCAGCATGGAGAAACACAACAGCCAGCCCATGGCTGAGGGGGAGGCATACCCTAATGGAGTGGTGGCACCACAATCTCTAACCACAGCATGTACGAATTGCACATTGGACTTTGTCTTCCCAGTACTTTTCCTCAGTGGAGCAAGAGCTCACAGAGACTTCACTAATAAAATAACTACAAAAATGTGAGAGAAAATAAGAAAGGGGAGGCTGTGCCTGTGTTAATGGGAAACATGATGGACAACCTTCAGTCATACCCTTGGAGAGGAGAGTCTCATGTGTCTGGAGGGTGCCCAGGGAGAAACACAAATGGATGCAAATTCCACATACATGGAGACAGATCACAGTCCCTGTCCTCTGCTACAGAATGAGCAGCTGGAGGAGAATCCTCTCAAGACATGAAATGTGTCTGTACAGTAGAAATAGCATCACAAAGTTTCACAGAGGGAAAAGCAGTATATAAGTTAAATTCAGCTTGCAAGAATAAAACTGTCTTTACAGTGAACTGGCCATCGGAAGTTTAAACCTGAACAGTTTAAACCTAAATCCTAAATCTGAACCTGTATATAATATCATGAATCTCTGAAAGTGGCTACTAAAAAAAGAATAAAAAGCTTGGCAATTTGCAGTTCTTTGATGAAATGACAGTTTCAGCTACATAATATGACTTGGTTTAGGTATTTCAGAAAATAATGGTCATTTTATTACACCCCTGGACCACATTGCTTGCTTGGTCATCACCTGAAATACCTAATGGTTTTCAGCACTTCACAAAATGTCACCTTTTATCACTACTGTTCTAGTGGGGAAGGTCAGGTCAAATATCAATCCAAGGAACAAAAAATTTAAAACACTGTACATTTTACAAAGTTGTCCTCAGAAGAGCCTTTATTTTAGAAAATGTAATATATAGTGTGCTCTGTAATATACTGTGGGATTTTAAATAGTCTGGGAAATAAAATGAAAAGAGCTCTTTCTGTTATCTTTTAAACTAACAAGTTCAAAAAGCCAGAGGTTAGGTATTTTCCATAATGCATGCCTACTATTTTCTGTCATTTTGCAAAATAACTGGAAGTCATTCTGAGAAATGAATGAAAATTTTATTCATTTTGCAAAATGTGTGGCTTCATAATATGTCTGTAATGTATGTCAGAAATTGGTGCAAGAGCAGTTGTACATAAACAGAGGGAGTTGAATCAGATTTCTCTCTAATTGCTCAGTAATCATTCCTGAAGTTGCCCCAGGATTTTAAATTAAATTTTTCAGAACAACTGTACAAAAAGAATAAGAAATGCTCCATGTACTTAATCACAAGGAGAGAGTATTGTGCAACTATTGCTGGAATAAATACAAGAAATACAGAATCCCAAGTCAAAGTTGAACTATGAATACTATCTGCTTAGAAAGTAAGTATGGAGAACACACTCTGGTTTTTTAAGTCTAAATGTATATGTCAATGCTTTCCCCATTTACATACACAGAATTATTTCTAATAAACTGCTTACTATGTGCCTCGATTCAGACATGAAATTCTAATGTGAACACACTGAGAAGTTGATTAAGAGCAGGCAAACAGAACGGGAGTCTCCTTCATGTGAGCATTGAGGATATGCATAATATAATCATAAAGGGACATATGGCCATGGTGGCCAGGACTGTGCCATGAAACATTTGTTCATCTAAATATGCAAACATCACCAGAGATGCTGTTGAGCACTTCAAATCTTTCTGTGTAGTGTGCTAAGAAAAGAGAAGGCACTACTTTGAATGGTTTCCTGACTGGTCTGTTTTGAACAAGGAGAACTTAGCATGAGGTAAATTGACTGTCAATATGCAGTCTATGCGTCTGGGCAGCTTGAAGTGATAATGATGTAAGAGGAGTGCATCACCAAATTTTGTGGTTTCCATCCACTTAGGACCAAAAAAAAGCAGCTGAGGTGGTTCTACAGCTTCTTGACATCTCTCTCATTTTTGATGACTCTTTCATATT